CAGTTGCCGGTTCGCACTGAAACACAGAAAAGAGTCTGTGCATGATAGGAAGCAGACGACACAACGTCGTTAAAGCACTTCTCAGCGCAGTTCGGCGACGGGGGGCATTTTGCACTTTCACTGCTTCACTACTTCCGGTTTACAAGTCTCACTCTGGTGAAACTTGTGAACTCTTGTGAAGCTGGAGCAAGCTCGTCTAGCCACCATGGTAAAACGTGTCAACTCAAAAAAGGCTGGGTAGATGGTGTCAACTCAAAAAGGCTATCTAGGTAGATCGACACATCGATGGGAAACAAAATGCCGCCTTTGTTTCGATGCTTAACGTGAACTTGCAGGTGAAATGGGATGACAGTGATGCTGGTGACACTTACCGTTACTATGCAGTGTACTACAAAAAGAGAGATGAAGAAGGCGAATATAAGGTAGATCTTTTGATGCCTCAATAGTCTCAGTTTCTATGCGGGTATCCTGGTCGTTTCAGATGGAAAAGCTCACTTCACGCTCTGTGGAGCTACATATCGAGCCTGACACAGCATATGATATCGGAATTATCTCTGCCAATGCTTTTGGGCATAGTCCACTGGTGTTCTTAGATGTGCCATCCACGAGCGTTGGTAGGGTTTTCAGCTTTCACTTGTTAACAAGTAATGAATTGGAAACAAACTCTTTAGGGCGATCAAAGTCCTCGTCAGGCGGTTCGTCAGCATTCTTCATCTTCTTGCTCCTTCTCTGTTGCGGTTTCGTTATTATTGGTAAGTATTACTTTGTTGAGGTAAATTGCTTCGGCACCTTGGAACAGTTGCCTTTTAGGAATAATCTATCTTGGGAGAAGACGAGATCTACCGGCACCATTCGGGAAGCTCATTCGACGACAGCAGCCGGCTCGAGGGCATCCAACCGTTGCCTTCGAGAACCCCGCTTACGGTGAGGCTTCCTAAGAAAAGTGTTTTTTGGTCATTACTACCCCAACTCGATTCCCTGGATTTATGAGCACACGATTAGGGCCGAATAGAGTCTTCCATGCTACGGTCTTGCCTCGTCACTCGGAACAAACTTTGCTTGGTTTTCTGTTCCGAATGACGAGACAAGACCTAGCATGCAAGCTGGGACTCTAGCTTGTCGATCTGCA